TTTCCACAAACAGCCTTTTTATTCTGATCAGGCTGTTTCCTCATGGCTGTTTCAGAAAAGCTCCTCGTTAGCATCCAGCTGTTTAATGATTGAGTTTCCTCCTCTCTCAGGATCATGTGACCTGCAGCCCTGGTTCATCCCACTGGATTCACTCTTTGCTTTCCTGTCTTGCAGAAACAACACGGTCCTGAACTCCAAGGTATTATCGGTGAGCATCAAGCCCACCCCCGCCTCCCTCTCTGCGCCCGTCGTGGTCGAGTTCTCCCACCTTTACAACGTGAGTAAAGTCTTCCCTTCCAGCAGGTCCAGCTGCCTGGTCTGTGTGTGACGGAGCTGTTCCTCTGTTGTTCTCTTCCAGGGCACCACCAACCACACCTGTATATCCTGGGACGAGAGTGACAGGTAAACCCTGTGGGCTTTGAAGTTCCGATGTGAGACCGTTTGCTAAAATAGAGCCTCGTTCTAACAGCCATGATGTTCACAACATTATAGACATTCATACATGAGCGTATTTGAGTCAATGTATAATGGCACTGAAAGGGTTGGGTTCAAAGGAGAATTGCGTAAGTTTAAAGGTTAGTCAGGATTCTGGTCGTATTCTGTGGCCGCGGGTCTAGATGTGACTCGCTGCATGCTAATGACAGAACCAGTTCGTTGGTTTGGGAAGATGGGCTCCTGAATTCATTTCACTTCAGTTTATATGGCAGCAGTGTGGAGCGGGCAGCTTGAAACGCTCTGATTTCTGGGTGACGATGTCTTCGCAGTTTGAAGGTCTGTTCTGCTGAGAGACCCAGAAACTGGCATCATGTTTCCCCCATCGAGCCGACATGAGGCTTCCTCCGTCCTAATCATAATAATGGAACTTTATTGATCTTTCATTGGAGAAATCTATGCTCTGCATTTAACCCATCCTCTTGGGGAGCAGTGGGCTGCCATTGTGCGGCGCCCGGGGATTAAGGGACTCTGCTCAGGGACCCAGAAGGCAGGCTATGGGGAGTATAACATTAATCCCTCTGTCTTTGTGCAAAAAGATCGTTTCTGGTAACCATTAGCAACAGACAACCATCGAGCAAAGATGGCTGATGCTCGATGTCTGCTTCCTTTGCTAGATGCTGGAACATTTCCAAGTCGTCCGCTGGTAACCTTTGAAGCTGTTCGTTGATGGGAGCAAAGCACAGATATTGTAGATTTTAATGCAGAGGTGATTTTAGAGATGCGGCATTTCTTTAATTGTTGCAGAAACATCTGATGAGCTGCTCTGCTCAGCAGCATCAATCAGCCGTGACTTTCAGTGCTGCAGCGCTGATACGCCACTGAATGAAGGAAGGATGAAATGGGAGGGGTCTTCCTTTTTTTCCCTGCACCCAAACACACATTTAACCATGTGGACGTGGGGGGGGGCAAGCTAAATCAGGCAGCATGAAGGAGAAGAAAGGCAGAGGTTGAATTTAACTGCTTCTGTGTACGGATTCAGAGTGTCGCTCCTGAACCACTTCCCCCCAACAGCAGATCACAGGAAGCATGGTTCCTGCTTCAGCCTGTGGTCACAGAGATCCCAGCTTGGCCTCACTGAAGGCTGGTAGCCTTCAATTTATTTCTGAGAAGTGAGCAAATAAAAAATAACCAAACTCTACCAGGGACATAAAATCAGAAATCGTTTATAACCCTTTAATTGGCTCTTTTTCTTTGTACCAAATCTCACATTACAGACTTCCTAAACTTGCAGGAAGTTGCGACGTAAACAGCAAGTGAAAGCCGTAAGTCTCCGATGGTGACAGTAAATCTGTTTGGCTTCTCCTTTTAAAAAAGTTGGTTCCATTTGCGGTGAAATGGTGACGAACACAGAAAGTCCTAAATGAAGAGCTTTCCTAGGAATGTGCCATCTAGTCTCACCTACCCTGCTGTTTGCAGACTGTCCGCTCATAAATGGCAGCCAGACGATTCAGCCATATGGTTGCTACTTTCCTAAAGATTGCTGAGCTTGGATCATCACTCTATATCTGACATCTTTTATACTCTGACATCGTAAACATTGAGAGTTCTGCCTTAAATAGTAACAAATAGGGCTTTGATGGGGAAGACTGCACCAACTGTCGGGCATGGTGGTAGCAGCATCATGCTGTGGATCTTTTTTACTGACAGTCAAAGTGTTTCCTTGGGCAAAGTGGATTTAAAGAATAGAGGTAAAGAAGGCGGCGCCCAGCAGAGCAGAGAGCTCACTGCTGCTTTCACAACCACAGAGGGGAGAACTGGGGGACACCGCATTGGAGCCGCTGTAGCCCCGCCCATTCGCATGACGTCATTATATGGAAACTCCACTCGGACAAACTGTTTTGCACCTATTTCTTAAGGATCAGATCTCTTTTGGAGTCTCAACAAATATATTACCTATTTTAAAATAATACTTTGCTATTATTATTATTATTATTATTATTATTATTATTATTATTATTATTATGGAACATCTTAAAAATGACTCTCATAGAGATTTTAGACAAATATTCTACTTGTAGAAAGCAAACCTTTGTTGTTGACACAAATTTAAAAGCAGTGTAGCTTAATGTGGCTAACTGAGCGAGCTAAAATAGGCTAACCTGTTAGCTACTGCTAGCGCTGGCCAGCTCTTTATATTATTGTCTAACAGTTACTTTGTTCACAAAAAACTGATTTATTCCAGTTTTGTTATCAATCAGGGAAAA